CGAGCCCCCCACCCTCCCACTCAGACAGTCCAGTCCAGTGGGACACTTGTTGGCCTGTCAAAACTTTTGCAAATAAACCAAGACTGTAGAAACGTACACTACAACACAACTAACTAACCAACTGACTGGCTAACTGACAGGCTAACTGACTAGCTAAGTTACTGGCTACATTACTCACTAGCAAAGCTGAAGTAAATAGATACTTGAATATTGTCCATACTGTTATCACAGTAATTAAACGTTGTTAAATTAATTTTCTGAAGAGACTAATTTCTTCAGGAATATATATATATATATATATTAAAAAAGTGTTTTTCCTTGGGTATTAACAAACAGCATAGCCTGTGTTTTTGTTTTTGTTTTTGTCAAACTGTTGAAGCACTTTGAGCTACATGATTGTATGAAATGTGCTATACAAATAAAGTTATTATTATTATCATTATTATGCACTTGAACAACATGAAGCTCATTTACAGTTAAACTAGATGATTTTATTTAATTTCTTCACAAAATAAATACAGCATGGTGGTTTGAACTGATTGATCGCAGTAAAAATGTGTTACAGGTTGCAATATTTTCAACAAATAAAAAACATGAAAATGTTAAAAATAGTAGTTGAAGTGACTTCTGCTAGCGTACGACTCTGACGGTCTAAAGAAGGCATTTACACTGTGATTGGACAAATTTAACTGTCTGCCGAACTCACTATGTCCTTTATGTATTTTGGAACCTTGACAAGTGCTGTTGCAGAGTTATTACCGCCTCTTATTCTCCTTTCAACCACGTTCATTTACTAATTGAGGGCATAATCAGTGTTGAGATTACTGTCTCTGATGAAATTTGGAAATTACATCATACCTGTCACCAAGGGAGAAAAAAAGGGGCGGAAAAATTACGCCGTAACTCATAAGATGATCTTGGAATAATTTTGCTTTGGCCATTAAATCGGATTCTGCCCTCGTGCCTTTTCACTATACAGGCTTTTACCATTGGAAAATGATGGCAGTCCATCACATCTCCAGCCAACAATGGGCCACAACTGCAGTAAATCACAACACATTCATTAGCACGATCAATAGCACTAAAAATATGTGTCTATATCCCCCCTCCTCTCCCCCAGCTCTCTGTCTCTCTCTTTTTCTCCCTCTTTTTCTGTGTGTGTGTGTGCGTGTGTGCAAATTGTACATAGCACACCCTTATGCTGGCAGGTGGAATATCTAGTAAATGGGGAGAGGGTGTGGGGGGTGTTAGAGGGGTTTAAATGACCTGTTTTATAGTTGAGTGCAATTTTACAAATTGGTCTATAATCAAGAAGTCAATAAATGAATAAAGCATGACTTTTTATTGTAAAAATTGTGTTTTTTTAGAGGAAAAAGACTGAGTACCATGTATGCAGTATATGCCTTGTTATTTTCCCCTTATAAAAATGTAATACATAGAACATACAGTCAGTAATACATAGAACATACATAGAACATACAACAAAGTTGATTGTCCGCTGGTAAATATTGCTTTTATTTTACATTTTGTTTTTTTTTTTACGGCAATCCCTGCCAAAAATGTAATACATAGAACATACAACAAAGTCAAACCGACCAAACGTTTTATGACCCTCCTGCAGTTCCTCCATTGACCTAAATCAGGGCTGCAGACTGCATGTTGAACACCACAGCTGTAAATTATAATAATGTAATTATTTTTTTAATGACATTGCAATTACTTTAGGAGTTTGTGTTCACCTCACTGAGTGCTCACTGATTACTGGTGCTGTACACCTCCATTAGAATGTGAACTCAAAAAATGTACAGCAAAAATCTTTAGTGACACCAAGAATTTACTGTCTTTACTGTCACAGGTTGGGGTTACTAATGCCACTAAAACATCCCATATCATTTCTATGGTTTTTTGTTTGTTTGTTTTTTTAATTTTCGAGGCATTTGTTCCTAAACCTACTTGGTTGATTGTCCGCTGGTAAATATTGCTTTAAAAAGACAAAGAAATGACCACAAAATACTTCCTGTGGCTCAGCAAAAATGACTAAGGCTATGTGTATTCCTTTTGTATATTTGTTTAGTACTTTAAAAAGACAAAATCACTGCATACTCTACCTCGATCCCACTGATCCTCACAATGTCTGAACAATGGAGCCTTAAAACTGCTAAATGTTTTTAGGAAAACAATCTCTAGCAGCTAATTTAAACCACTCAAGGTGACGCACGGTGCTTTTGCAGTCGACTGTTTACAAAAGAAGGTGTTTGTTTTAAGTTTGGCAGAGTTCTGAGGTTATTAAGGAAAGAATCCACACTGGGGTGTTTATTGTCTTTTTCTGTTCTAACGCTGAAAATAGCAACAATAACAAAACAGTGTAGAGACTCAAACGTCTTATTCTTATGAAACTGCTGAGGTTTTGACGAATTATATTAATCACATTCTCCTTTTTCCCCCGCACGCTATGTTATTGTTTGTATGTGTTGGCTGGTGATTACATAAAATTGCAAAATTAGACGCAGGACAGGAAACGTAGTAGCACTGCATGTTCCGTGTGGCGTGACTGGACCTCAGCCAGGCGGCGCTCGGTTGAGCCAAGTGTAAAACCAAATTAAAACAGAGTCCGCCTGGACATCTTAGGTCAATACACCGATTCTTGTTCATAGGAGGAAGAATGCCGTTTGGCCCCTTCACCCATCTCCTATTCCCGTTCAGGAACCCTGTTCTCCCTGTTAATCAGGGGGAATAATTATCAAAGTGGACAGGTAATTAAATTAAAACATAAGTGGCTACATGAGCTGGGTTGGCTGCACTACAAGGTTTTCCATGGCTTAATTAAAGAGAAATATGGGCGTGCTCACCCACAGTGTCACAGAGCTGTTGAAAATTAGAGGGGCGGCAGCAGGGGAGGGGAGGGGGGGGGGCTGCCACCAACTTTAAAAACTCAATCTTATGTTGTTTTTAAGAGAACATTTTAGGCATCAGAAAAAGAGAAAAAAAGAATAGAGAAAAAGTGTGTGTGTGTGTTGAAGAGTGCGAGGGGAAGCCGGAGCCGAATGTTTGGTAGAAGCATTAAAACACTCGGAGCTGAAGCATCCATCTGGGAGTAGAGTTGTAAAATAAAGACACCAATAAAATAAAACTCACTGCTGTTGATGTTTACAAACAACCCCCTCCCCCCCCCCTCTCCCAGCAAAATGCAAAATCCCCACAGCGCCTCAAGAGCTGAACCCATAGAATAAACATAAATAAACACAGGCGGAACGGGAATCCAGCTCCAGTAAACCCACTTCTCCAAACATTCACAAACCCACTGGTGTGTGCCCACGCCCACCAGTGTGTGCACATGTTTACAAATAATGACAAAGTGGGAAAACTGTATACACACCCTCACATAAACAACCACATAAACACCACACACACACACACACCTCACACTGACACAAACACAAACACAAACCACAGCCGCCTCTGAGATTATGCAAAGAAAACAGCAGACTGCGGCTGGAACTTGCTATCTCAGGGTTTCTGCAGTGATAAATGGCTGAGTGCACGTTTACAAAGACCGCTCTGATCTGCTGTGGAACAGAACACTACAGATACACCTAGGTCGGCTGGAGGTCAGAGGTTGGCAACCTGTGGCTCTGGAACCACCTGTGCCCTTCAGCTCTGGTAATAACCTGGCAGTACCCCTCCCCACAGTCCCTATAGCCTACACCACACTCATGTACTTTTCAGCCTCTCCCCATTTCTTCATCCAGCACAACACTTTATTATTTATTTTTTATTTTGCTGGTATTACATGTGTCAAAACAAGGTCTGCAACCCTTAAAAGGTCTACAGGGGTTGTTCAGAGTTTTGAAATGTTCAGAGACAGACTTTATTTATATATGTATATATATATATATATATATATATATCCTGTAGTCTGTAGTCTGTAGTCTGTAGTCTGTAGTCAGTGGTCTGTAGTCTGTGGTCTGTAGTTAGTGGTCTGTAGTCTGTTGTCTGTAGTCCGTAGTCTGTAGCTGCTCCCGGTCTCATCCGTTAAACATTAAATGATTGCAGGAAGGATCACAGCCAATCATCATTTCCTCTTTGTTAGCTGTTTATAAACATGTTTACTGTCACAGCTGCTCTGCAGCGTGTACACACACACACACACACACACCTGATACACAAGTGTGAAGTGAATGAAGATAAAGACATGTGAGCCAAATCTGTTCATCACTCCTCTCTCTCCTCGTCTTGGCCCTTCGATGAAACGCAATAATTACAGAGTCAGAGCCAAAACAATGTTGTCCGTGTTAACAAGCTGTGCTAACACACGCACACGCTCCATCACATCCTCAGAAACGACCAGAGCATGAGGGAAATTTCATTTTTAGGCTCAAGGGCTCACTTTATTTTAAAGCTCAAATGACCCGACCAAGGGGGCAGCACAGTGGAGAAGTGGTAAGTGAGGTTGCCTTGCAGCAAGGTCACGCAATGACTTCAAGGGTTGAGGTTCCTACAGAGATAAATAAATCTGATGAGTCAAAAGAAAAGAAAACATTTGACCACTCTGTTTTCAATTTTCTTTTTTTTTCAGTTTATTACAACTGCGTTAAATAACATTTTATTAAAATCCAGAAGAAGAAGCCACGCCTTGGTGGAGCGTCTTCATTCATTGGTGGATTCTCAGAGGCAGACCTATTAAATCATCTACTGCTAGGTGGCAGCAGACGGCTATTAAAACAAACAAATAATAATAATAATAATAGTCAGAGCTGCTGAAGATCTTTGGGAGTGTCTTTCTTCAATTCCTGCCAGTATATCAGTGCTGTCTTCAACTAAACAGGCCGGGGTTTTAGTCAATTATGAGGTCATTTAAACTAGAAGATTTCATTACATTTACTTGACGTGAGATTTTTGTTTGGTGGTGTGCCGTGGGGTTTTTTCCTGTGATAGATATATAT